CATTTGTAAAATTGTTCCTCTTATAAAATTAATATCGTAGTCGGGTGTTCTTCTCCTCAATCCGTATTGCTTAAGTCTCCTCATCAATGTACTCTTGCTTATATTTATATCATAATACTTTGAAAGAAAATTCAGGATTTCGTCATACTGACACCCACTGAAGAAGAAGTACTTTATAAATTCTTCATCGTCAATTTCATTAGAATCAGCTGCTGCAGCTGCATCATAATCATTACCTGCATGTGCTGCAGCCATAGCAAGTGTACGTACGATATACCTAAGTGATGTGTATACAGTGTAAGTACTACACAAATATGGCTGCCAATGCAGTGAATTGTGGGATACATAACCATCTTCCGTTGTTTATAATAAAAAGGTTTTTGAAATTTAAGTTTTGTATCTTTTTAAAATGTTTGAAATTTGAGAAATTAAATTATTAATAGTGGAAAATAACGTTGTATTTTTAAAAAAAAACATGAAGTTGTGATTTTATAAAATTAATGCTGTGCTTTGATAAATGAAAGTTATACTGTGGAAAAATGTTTTTTCGTTTGGTAATTAAAGTGGTGTTTTTAAATTAGTTTTGTTTGCAAGAAATTAGATTTGTTATGTGCGTATTTAAATTTGCTTTGCGTGAATTTAAGTGTATATAACTAACATTTATAGTGTTGTGTGAATTAAAGTTATTTTGTCATAAGATAAAGTTGTGGTATGTGAAGTTAAATTTGTGTTGTGAAAAATTAGGTTTCTTGGCGAGAATTGAAAATATATTTTTGTAATAAAATTAAAGTTTTGTTTTGTGAATAAAATAAATTATGTGGGAAATTGTGTTTCTTCTGCGGAAATCTAAAGTTTTGTTTTGTTAAATAAAGTTGTGTTGCGAGAAATTTAAGTTTTGTTTTGTAAAATAAAGTTGTGTTGCGAGAAATTTAAGTTTTGTTTTGTTTTGTAAAGTTGTGTTGCGATAAATTTAAGTTTTGTTTTGTAAAATAAAGTTGTGTTGCGCGAAATTAAAGTTTTGTATTGTAAGTTAAATTGTGTTTCGAGCAACAAAGTCTGTGTTACGGGAAATAAAACATGATGTGACACCTTTGGGCCACCGTATAATAGTTTATTGTATTAATACATAATCATGACCAGCCACTGAGTTATTTCTGATACGATCATTATAAGATAGAAATAGCAAACCATTCCTACCCAGCACACGAAGACCTATCCCATTCCAAGTGACCTGAGCATATCGGACTACGCCGAGTTCCCGTAAAAAGTTTATAAAATGAAATTATATATAAGTCAAGCACCAGTCGATGCAATATAATAATTATGCACTCTGTATAGTAATGTTGCAGAGACGATGGACCCACTTTACCCGATCATCACCGTGCTTATTTAATATACCAGTATATTAACACGAAATACCAATCAGTGATTACACACACCCACCAATAACTTCGATCAATACGTCCTCGCTCGCGTAAATATTCTGAATGTTATGTAAATGTTCTGAAAGTAATAACATGTATTACCAATTGCCATACCCAAGCACTTCCACAGTCGCACTGTTATATTAAGATTTGTGGTGCAATGCATTATAAACGTACCTCAACTTTAACAGTGATTGAGCATTGAACCATATTTAATCGTAATCGTAGTCTATGGGGTTAGTACAATTAGGGTGAATAAAGTGATATTCCAATAGTTAATCGTCTAGAATCCAGAATTCTGAAATAGCAGTAGGTTCTTGTAGATTCTTAGGGACTAAACATTATTGCAATTCAAAATATTGACCCCTCAGAAAGATCCTCTGTGTCAGAGTCGGTGGTACTCAGCCTGTGGAAGCCTTTTATTTTATTACGTCTGAATACGGCGCCTAAGGTGAACTCTGTTCCAGGGCCGAACTTTTTCTTCTGATCTGCGCGGATGGATCGGCACCTTATAACCACGGCGACGCACACAATTACGAACGCCACTGCAGTGACTGGCACCGAATACATTAGAATCCGACTGGAATCATCTCTGCCACTTTCTGCTGTACCGTTATCCTCCGGCGCTGCGTTTTTCGTTTGTCCGACATGCTGTGCTTCAAGTTCTGCAAGAATGAATTAATAATCAAAAAATTAATTCCCTGGGCACGCGTGTTTCGCCCAAACACGATTGTGGTTAACCATTCACGATAGTGACTTTGTGTTCGATTACGCTTAATAAAGATTGCTATTGCCATTGGTAACCACAAAAGTCTGTTTTGTAAAATTAAATTTTATTTATCTAGGATAAATCAAGTTTCTAGTTACAATTGCAGTAATGACGTCAAAGTAATCATAATAACCATTGTGCAAATGTAAATTACCACAACCAATCATGACTTATATATTGCGCCCTCAACGAAAATCTACATTTAGGTCGGATGACAAGTAGATATAGGTCAAGTATTAATGCTGAATAAATGCACATAATACCAATATAAAAAGCACATTCGACTATTTGGAGGAAACAGTTTACGTTATTCGTAGCACAAATTTGAGTTATTCAAAAAAAATCAGATATTATCAACACATAAATAAACTAAAGATAAGTAGAAGATAATGTTTGCAATAAATATGATAAAAACAGACTTTATGTAACCTCCCACGCACCACCGTAAGATTGCACATTTCATAGCTTTGCGTTGTACAAAACGACATAATTATAAACGTTAATAATTTCAGGGCAATATGGATACACACATTGTATTGACTATATAATAATATAGACTTCCTATCGATTTCTGTGAGCAATAATTAATACGAGATGAGTAAATAACGTCATTATGGTATTCGACAACCTAGCCACATGTTACATTTCATGGATTAAAAATACAGATGTTCTTCGTGACACGAACAATATACTAAGTATATATAGTGGCACATACTAGTATGAATAAACAGATATGCGAGTTAATACGCATGCATTGGAAATTCCAATCCCATCATCACATTGGTGTTTCACAGGGAACATACATACAACGCGAGCTAGACAGATATCAAATAACCCTACAATTTAATTACTACTACGTGATTACTACCCGTACGAATATACCATGTATATCAACAGGAATAATGTACTTGCAAACATTGAACAGAACATTTGTAACGTTAACGATGAGTAACACAAGAGATGTACGTCTCTCAATACGTAATGACCCTGACGTCATTGTTTGTAGTACACACCTTCATAACTCTGTCTCAGATCTTGCTTCTTACTCTGTTTTTCTTTAGATTTTGTTATATCATCCTCTGAAATTGAAAATTCGTACGAATCGTTTGTCATATCATGGCTACGAATCTCCTGAATTGTATTTACTGTTCTTACATCTCCATCTTCAAGGCCGGTTACCAGCGGATCCACGTCATCTCTAAGTACTGGTACACTGGTGGAACACTCCAAATAAGCAGCACATAGCAGCAAGTATAGAAATGTCTTAATGAACATATCGGTTTTGTGGGAGTTCCAAATAGAGCTCGATCTTCATCTCGTCATGTCGTACGCCTCCTTCGTGACGACGTCACTTGTACAGGGTTCGAAGGTCATGGGAGCGGAACCAGTCCCAATCTGGGGTCTTGGTGACAAGCAATGCAGTCCGATCAAATCCGACTTGTATGAAGCCTGTAAAAACAATACAACGGGTCTTTACCAAACGTACAACGGTACAACTAATGCGGATACGAGGAGGAAGTTTCCTCTGCCATCCGACATTTTTCTTCGAATTTAATGGGCGTACCACTTAGCGACTTACGCCGTCTATGTTTTGTGTAATACGATACGCGTACACATATTATGGGATGTTTCAAACTGACATCAGAGTTTGCCCCAATGAATTCTTAGAATCGAAGAATCGCGTGTGGTTTCTGTTACCTTTTTGTTTCAAACCCGATTTGATTAAAATACATCGAAACCCGGTAATAACATTGAACATTGGGGTAGAAAGCATCAGTACATTTCATCATGTATATACACAGGGAGCCCAGGAATTATGGTCAACTGTACGCACTCCCTATGAGCGGAGTGGGGGGGTATCAGCTGGTATCTAGTGTAAGAAATAGACAAGGGATGAAGGCTCAAGCCAGCTCA